TATTGTGCTGTTTTGACTGTATTGTACTCTATCAAACCCACTAGCCTCTTCCCCCTCCCTCCTGCTGCTCTGCAGCAAGCAGATAAATGACTGCTTTCAAAGCAGTGCTACGTCTATCCTGCTGTTGTCACAGGGGATGTTGCTGCAGAAGGAAAGAAACAAAACCCATCTCTTCTGTTTAGAGACAAAATACATACGTATCATATGTAGGCTGACAAAATATTCAGGCTGCAAGTTAGGTTATAAAATAAGCAGAAAACATTGCTAAATACACTGTAGAGATTTCTCAAGAAGCTTCCTAGTACAGTGTAAGACATCACTCTAGGGGGCTTGGGTGGCTTTTCTTTTAAGGCATAGAATGCAATGTCTTCCACACAAGAGGACTATGTAGAGAAGAAAATTAAACATATGTCTGTTTCTGTCACAGCTATTAGTGACTCTTCCTTTGGGGGAGAGGATGGTGCAGGTGAGGAGGAGGAAGCTGTGGGCAAGGTGTTTTTAGGCCTACAGTTTCATGGATATACCATCTTTACTTGCAGGAACATTATGCAGAACTTCTCCCCTGGCCCTCTTCATCTGACAGACACAGCTCAGGGCTCAGTGCTGCTGTTCCTTCCGTCATTCCTGTGTCCCATGGCTGTCTGCTTGGAGACGTGCAGCAGCATGGCTTGCTCTGAGCAGATCTGGGTTCAGTGGATGTCACTGTCAGAAATCACTCAGCCATTGGAGGCAGGCAGTTGACTCCCTATCAATGCCACCGTCCCTCCAGTCCTGTACAGTCCCAAGTGCAGAGGACTTTTTATGGTCAGACGGTCCACTTTCCCCATCAGCACTATTTTCCGTAGTCCAGCAGCTCTGGCTTTGTGTGTTTGGCTTTACTACCCAGCAAAAGACAGCCTCTTGTCATCGCTGTAGCTGTGGGGGTTTGTATGACCAAACAACGCAGACCACTGAGTTTGGATCCAAGATCATTCTAGTTCCCTTGGGGAACTACTGCTGAATACTTTTCCTCTTGACATGAGGTAGGGCTGCAGCAAGAACTGCTCATAACAAGTCCTCCAGGGATACAGCTGGAAGTAGAGTTATCCTGTATGAAACGTATTATTAGAAATTCTTCATCTCAAGATTCATGCCAGGGGGAGAGCATGGCACCAGCCAGGCAGTGAATCTGGCTGGTTGTCACAGTGTTTGTTTGGGAAACTGATCAACTCAGAGAGTTGGTTAAATGGGCTCAGCTCATTTTCACACCTCCCTGGTAAGGCAGAAATATGAGAATCCCCATTTCATCTTTTTTCTTCCATGCTCCAGTTTGATTTAAAAGAATTGGTCTGTCTATCTGGCTCACTCTTCCCAGCTTGCACATGTGGTGGTAATCTTCTAGAGATTGCTGCTTCCCATGTCCTCTCTGGCTAGAATTTTTATCTGTATTATGGGATTTGGCTTTTCACTTCACCTGGAGCTGTCAAATGTGTGTCGTATTTCATCCTGCACAAGTGGAGCTCCTCTCTCCTCCCAAGTGCATCAACTTCCAGAAGGTTTAGTGGCTGTAACTCTGGGCTAGTCTAACCCTGTCAGTGCAAACCATGGAGTACCACCTCTGTTTGGAAATGACATATCTCTGTGGCCCTGCATCAACATCCCAGGCTGTGAGCTCTTAGGACACAGGCTGGGTTTTTGAGGGGTCTGTTGTCCTGACTTGGGCAGTTCAGTTGTGTTTCCTTGGCAGGAACCAGAAGGAGGCAGGACTTGCCTGCCGATGTGCACGTGGTGTCATCTCTGTCACCTGCACTAGCTCACAGTGCGTGGCGCGAAGCCCAAGTCCCTCTCTTAGCCAATCCTCCTGCAGGGTTTTTCCATTGTGACTGAAAGAATAACCAAGCTTGTCAGTCTATTTTGAAGAAAAGCTGTGTCTGACCAGGGCTGGAGGGATTACATACTAAGCTTCTTAGCAGTCTCTTGCCCGGGGGATGGAGAGCAGAGGGCTCTAAGCAGTAAGACTCATTCTCATTTTATATAGTGTGAAGAAACAGAGCTAATCAAGGCTGTAAGAAATTCATCGCTCACTGAAAACAATGCTGTATCTGCTTTCATTCACAGGGAGCCAATGCTAAATTCAACCTCCGTCTTGTTGGACCTGGTGGTGTCTTCCGAGTGGTTCCCCAAACTGTCCTGAATGAGGCTCAGGTTACAATAATAGTGGAAAATTCTGCTGCTATTGACTATGAAAAATTCAAGGTGTTGACCTTCAAGGTACTTCTGCTTTCTGCCTGTGTATATGTTATGTGTACGATGGCTTATGTGTCTGATGGGATTTAGCTTCTTAATCCACCTGGAGCTGTCTGATGCGTTGTCAGTGACATTATATTCCATGTAAGGGAAACTTATTTCTGCCCCTGGTTCATCAATTTCCAAAGGTTTAATGGATGCATCTGTAGACTAATTTAGTCCAGTCAGTGCAAAATGTTGAGTATTATCTCTCGGTGGAAACTGCACATGTTGGTGGCTCAGAGTCATTCTAGACTGAACCCTAAAGGTGTTATTTCTGCTCTTACAATGATAAATTCACAGGATGAAATCGTAATTTCTCTGGAGTCAGAACTTTACCTTCTTAGTCCTAAGTAATTTGGTTCATGATCATGCTTTTGAATGTTGGCAGGCTGAAGACCCCAGCTGACTGGAAGATAACTTCCCAAAATTGCTTACTGCCTTTGTCAGAGTGTATCTGTCTGTATGGCCTTTTGCAGACTGATCTAAGGCTATCTCACCCGTGCTCCAAGCCAGCTATACAAGAACCAGCTTTCATCCAAAAGCTGGACCCTTGCATTATCACTTTCCCTGTTGGATGCACTGGCTCATCAATAAGATAATTAAGTAGTGTTGTTTTGTGTCAACTGCCTCTGAATATGAGTATAGGTGGTTCGGTTCTGACTGCAAAGAATGGTCAATCTGTCTATCAACAGATAGACAATCCCTGTAATCATTAAAAAAAAAATGCCAAAACTAGCTGATTATTAACATATGCTAGTTTTGATTTTGTACAGAAAGTGGCATTTTTAGCACAGTCCAGAAGCCAGCTTCCTGGATTTTATTCTCACCCTTGCTATATGGTTTGCTTTGTGTCCTTAGCAAGTCATTTCCCTGCAGCATGCTTCATGTCTCCTCTTGTAATGTTCCTTAGTCATTTTGAGCTTCATAGGTTATAGATGCTACAAAAATATGAGGCACCATTACTGTATTAAAATGGAAGATTCTGAAAGGGCTATAAAGTGCTACCGAAACTAATTATAATAAGCTCACATTTATTCAGGTTAAACTACCAAAAGACCAGTAAAGAAGTTACACATGGCCTCCTCATGAATACTAATAGAAATCAAAGTAGTTAATGTGATTGCCATGAACACTGAAAGAATTAATTACCAGGAAAAAGGATATATATTTTTTTTAGCTTAAGCATTTCTTCTTTTTTTTTTTTTTTTTTGATAAAATTATTTCTACTGGAGAAGGACCATAAGGCTTTGCTATAAATGCAGAGCTTTTGTCTAGATTCCAAGTGAAGAAGGTGCAGCTGTATGATATGGTAGTAATATATGGCAGCAAATACTTTATAAAGATGTCATTGCTGTCTCTGTTTCCCTGAAAAGTTCAAATTGCTTCCTACCCAGTTTTAGTTGCCAGTGTAGTCATTCTGGTTAGAATTTTGGATGAAATAAATTCTTTATTTCTATTAGCATGTATCCCACAGCAGCTTTGAGAAGCTATTTTCAAGGGGTTTTCTTTTTCTGTAAACAGTGATCCCTCTCCTCTGGTTTGTTACTGAACAGTAAAATGCCAGAGAGAAATTAAAACTAATTTGACTGCGAGGTGCACTGAAAAACTACCTGAAGAAAAGGCTACTAGAGACAATCTATCTTCCATTTAAGGCTTGCTCTTAAATGCAGTTGGTAGTCAGGACCTCCTTCATTTTCAGCCGTCCAAGAGCTAGAGCGGGTTTCCCAAGGTAGGGCAGCTGTGGTAATTCATACGTGACCAGCCTGGCCTCTTAGATCTCAAGTCCCTCTGCCACAAGGGCCAGATGTTGCTGTCCCACCTTGTCATGGGCTGACATGCTTCGGGGGCCAAACCTCCTGCCTCCACCTCCTTCAGCTTAGAGTACATCCCGCCTTGACAGGAGCCCGGACCTGCCCCTCGCATTCTGCAGACACTCACATCTCCTGCAGAATGGGACCGCATGAGGCTGCAATTACCTTCAGTTGCCAAAATCAAACTCTATTTTAAAAATTTACTTGCACTTTTAAGATTGTGTCTCAGTTTGCTCTTCTGGCACTTGTATTAATTGTTGATAGGTAGTCCTGTGAAGTAATAGTTTTTATGCTATTTTTTTTCTCTCTCTCTGCATAAAACAAACAATACAGCTCTGCATAAGACATCGCAGGAAAGTAAGCTGGCAAAAATCATTCCCTGAAGGAAGATGTTGTCAGCATGTTGACATAGCTGGACTACAGCTGCTAAAAGGAGAGGGAATAAAAAATTAATGTAGAAAACAAAGTAAAAATACTAAGCCCTCGTAAGGCATTCTAAGATGGGCTGATTCCAGCAGCAAAGATTATTTCACTGCAGATATAATTTAGTTATAGCTCCACATGCACGATAAGCAATAAGACTTTATCTCTGTGCTGCTTTAGGAGCTGAGATTGCTCATGAGCAGGTTTTTGCTGATGTTTGTATGACTGTCCCTTCAAAAATTTCTTTTGCTGTACCACCATCGAAGACTCCCAAAAGACAAAAGTTAGCACAGAGACACAGTGACCAAACTCCCCTTTCAGAGCAGATGTGTCCTATAGTAATTATAAGCAATCCTTCGAGATTCATTTCTTCAAGGACCCTTTCACTGTTTATTTCCAACCATGATACGTGTTCACACAGTAGGAACAGCTCCAGGAGATGCTACTGAGATAGCCTTTTCCCTGTCTACTTGAACTGCTCCCCCACCCTCCCCAAACCCTCTCACCTCTGGGTGACGCAAACTTCTCCGAACCTAGCAAAGCGGGGACTTGAACACAGCGTGTGCCCCGCAGCCGGTCAGCGGTGCCACCGCTGGTGTGCGTGCCGTGCCG